AGAAGAGAGATGAATTCCGGAATCATGCTTTGCTTCCAAAATGATCATCTGAATTTTTCCCTAATACCAAAAGAGATCATTTCTTCTTCTCTAGAGAGAATTTCTTAGAGTTTCATTCACAAACATATATGAAAACATATTGCTCCTTGATTTGAAATCTCAAGCTTTCTTATGAAATACAAATTCTGAATGTTAACTGGCTGTAGTTACAACTTACATCTTGCAGTGATGAGCTCCTCTTTCACAGACTAAGCCAACAGAAGTGGCCACAGTCCTCTCCTGAAAGCTTTTTTTTTTCTTTTTTTTTTTTTTTTCTGTTGATTAGAAACTTTCTGTAAGAGAAAGAAGCTTTTAAAAAGTAATGGGTGGTCTGTGCTGGAAGGTGAAAAAATCCCAAATGGCCATTGAGTGGTTTCAGCGCTAGATCTTTAGCCCTAAAATATGCCCGGAGCTTGTCTCTACTGTCTTCTCACAACTGGTTTTGTCTCCAGCTTGCCTCCTCTCACATCATCCCGACACTTATGCTCCAAATGAAAGAGAACTCATCTAGTGAGCTGAGTGAACTGCGCAAAGGTTTTTCTGGGTTCAAAACGAATTTATTCAAACACACTACAGGAATAGCCATATCGGTACCTGAAGTTTTACAGGCTTGGAAAGATATGCTGGGTATTTTAGTTGTCCTATACACATATAAATAACAAACAAGGTATGTTTTAGATGCTACTTAATAAAAGCAGTGTGATTGGTGGGCAGCAATCTTGTTTGTTACTCTTCAGCCCCAGAAGTCCAAAACTCTAGGAAATTGCTAGCATTCTGTGGACTGCTCAGGTATTTTTCCTTTGAAGAAATGTTGGTTATGCTGTGGCCAGAAGCTGTGGTTGCAGCACACTGCAGAGGATCCTGTGCTAACTGGGACCTCTGGACATTTGGGTTTCCATAGCAGGGAAGTGACAGGCAGCCCGTGGCCTTAGGGCAGATCCCTGATGTTTGCCTGCCACTGCTGGCAGGGCCAGTCCGTGTGAGCAGGCAAACGTAATGCAGGGATCATTTGGTAGACTCTTGACCAAGAATTTCTCTCTCAAAGCATTGAGCTTTACTTCGTGGAGCAGAGAGTTAGTAAGACTCCAGGACGCTGCGAAGCAGGACAGTTAGTGGTGCGTGTTTCTGGTATCCCAGCCAGGCTGGGTTTGCTGCAGGATTTTCTCCATCCTGTCCAGGTCATGCCAGTGTTGCCCGTCTTGTCAAGAAAATAGATGGTTTGGTTTACAAAAAAATCACTGTTCTGTTTGAACAAACCACACACAAGCAATTCTGCTAACTGTGACAGTGCTGAGTATTGCTTCACGGCTATATGTACATTAGGACAAATCACGCTCAGCATTGTGATAGGTATTTGTGACAAAACTTCAGCCACAATAAACCGTGGTTAATTTAAATAACTTTAACTGATGCTGTCAGTCCTTACGGCTCATTCCATTGTCTGATTTTGTTGTTTTTACTGTATTCCAATCTCAGTCACAGGACTGTTTAAAGATACATACCAGGCCCTACAGCGGGTACAGGCAGTCTGAAAGACAGAAGGAACTTCATGATTGAAGAAAAAAGAAAAAAAAAATAAATCCCTGCTAGAGAGCAGAGAGACAGAAAGGAGGGATGGTGAATGGGGGTATGAAAACTACCTCTGTTTTAGAGACCTGGTACAATGTATTTATATTCAGCATAAAACTCCCCTTAAAAAAGAACTAGGAAGAAATGTGACTACTCTACTCTGTGATCTTGCCTTCCCTCATCTTCCACTGCTCATAATGAAGAAGCTGCTTTCTCAGATTATCTGTGACTAATTCAAACAAGAACAAGTTTGCTTAGGCAAACCATTCTCAGCTGCTTACTTCTGCATTTTGTGCTGAATTTTCATAACAGACCGCACTGGATAAGCCATGCAAAGCAAACAGTAGGTTCCCCTGTGGGGCTGGATAACCCAACCATATTTATCCCTTAATATCTGCTCAGAAGACCACAACATTCCTTACAGCCAAAGTCTTTAGAAAGTTTCATCTTGCCAAATTGGAAGTGAGAACATACACTGGCTGCTAACTGCTTTCTCCTCCTGTTCAGTTCTCAATTTAGGAGTACAGAAATACAAGACATATTTTAGTGTGGAAAATAAGGTTTTTATTTCACTTTCCCACCAGCTACTCACTGGCTATGGTGGATCTTGTGTAAACACAGGAGAAATCTGTACCACAGAATAGAGAACAGGAATTTGTTAAGCACTTTGTATTTTTAGAAATGGTCTCTAAATAGTACAGGAACTCTTTAAAAAGCCATGTCTCACATTACGCAGAACAGCAAAAGCCTGGACATTTTTATTTGTTTTATCATGCTTTCACAGTACAAATAAATAGGACTAAGGATGAAGAATTGCAGGTATTTTATTTTATTTTTCCCCTCTGCAGCTGTGCATGATCTCATGATTTTGGTGTTAATGTACTTGTCCCTGCTCTCTGCAGCACCAGGTGCCTCAACAATTGTAGCTATTGTCATAAGACCTGAGTGTCACCCTTGAAAATGGGGTATGGCAAAAGTTCCTCTCATTGAAGACCCTCTTCTTGATCCTGAAAAAAGTTCTGGTAGACCTTATACTACCAGTAGTGACACAGAGATATGCAGATCAGCTACTTTGAGAAAAAGGGAGGTAACTACTATGACAGGCAGCATTTTGTTGCTATCTATCACTAATTCCTTTCTACGAAGGAACAAAACAACAACCAACCACCACACTTACACAATGAAGTGCAGGTGGTGCAAACCAAGTGCTCTACTAATGCAGTAGCAGAACCTTAAATTACCAGTAATTCTGGCACAGTAAATTCTTGCACATACCTGTAAGCTCTAAAATGTGCACTTCCTTAAACACTCTGTTTTCCTGGACTAGGACTCTTCAGGAATAGTGAATTCTTCCTAGAAGATCTCTATGAGAAGGGCTTCTCTTCAGTTTCATAATTTTGGATAAACATCTGCTTATTTCATCGTCAACTGAAAATAGACACAAAGATGGTTAGACCTGAGACACATCCAGTTGCCAAAAATGCCACTCCTCGTTTGGCTTCCAGCACAGCTGTATGGTGCAGGGTCACAGGAGAAGGTTGGAGAGCTGCCCCCAACATACCTCCTCCACTCATTGCCACAAGATTTGCTTTGCCCAGCCACGGTTTTGGGGAAGAAACTGTACTGTTGTGCGGCTTTCACCTTGATTGAATCTTGTAGTTAGCATCAGGACTGATGCACCAGAGGTGAGAACACAGCCCAAATTGGACTCGGGTCAAATTCGGGGCTTTGGAAGCAGACTGAATCTACATCATTTCACACAGATGCCGCTGAGGGACAATAAGGACAGATATTTCTGAAGAGATTTTCACATCTTTGTTATAAAACCCTGCATGGAGGTAGAGAATTGCACAATGTTACTTCATTTTTAAACTCTGGGAGGCTCAGTGGGAACATTAAATTTCTGTGGTTATTTCTGTGTTTTGTTTTTGGAGGGGAGTTGGTTGGTTGGTTGTTTTTTTTTTTGCCATTTCCAAATAGAGATTTTTGTTCCTACAAACAAAGGTGTTTTTGGTTATTCCTCCACAAGTTCTCATCAAGCAGCCTTGCTCAATGTGGCAAGGCAGCCCCAGGAGCAAACAATATCCCCACCATCACACAGGCCTTGGGAGGTTAAAAGCAGCAACATTCGTGCTTCATGCTTCTGCCAGCAGTTCTTTAGGAGCCTGGCTGCCCCGTGAAGGCAGCGTGGCTGCCTCCCAAGGGAGGGAGAGCCCAGTGCACAGCCACACTCTGTACCAGCTGGGGCTCTCGGCTCTTTCGGGAGCACTCTGCCCATTCTTCAGACTGCATGGTCGTGGAATTTTGCAGTGAAATCTGCATCTAAATAAAAAGAATGCAACATATTCTGGCCACATAAATTTGTAGTAAAAAGTGCTCTTAGTCAGGGACAAGGGAGTTCTCTTAACCCATGCAGCTCATATCACTATTATCACTTCATTCACATTCTTCCTTGGCTTCTTCCCACTGCTAGGCATTATCTTAGAACTATCCATATTACAGCCTTGTCAGTTTGTTTCACCTTTGCCCAATCTTCAAAGACGGTGGATAAATCTGCTTTACCATATGGATGCATCAGGTAGAGCAGACACAGTGCCTGAGCACAGGAGGCATCAAAAATACACTAGACTGGACTAACAGAAACAGAAACTATATAAATGATGCACATGAAAGTAATCATTACAAAACCCCTATGCTAATTTTAACATTTCTACAAGAGTCACTTAATCTAGCCCACATTGCTGCTCTTAACAAACCAAACTTTTTAGAAACTTGGACCTGGACTCAAGTACATCATATGTTTTCAGTACCAAATTGAGTTACACTCCTGTGTGCTAAACTGTGAACTTTGCCTTCAAGGGGCAAATCTCAAACATGGTGGGTATCCTTACGTAGTAAGGACACTAAAATCCACTGTGCATTTATAGTAAGAGTCTCGCTAGACAAACCAGCTAGATGCATAATAGAAGTGAAAGTCATTGGGGAAAAGATGGGAGTCACTACTAACACCATGACAGCATGGGATAAATGTGTGTGTCAAAATAAGAGGCAAGTTTAAATGTGTATATGGCAGAAGGCAGAGGAAGACCTCCTGCTGATTTCAATGCAGCCAGCTTTCCACCCCTTGCACTTGCCAGTGCGGGTCCTGACCAGCCGTGTCTTCTGGACCGTGAGCTTCCTTTGAAGGCACGGGGAGCTCTGCATGTAGGTGGGTTTCAAACATCCAGATCTCCGACAGCTGCAAGTCAGCAAGCACGCCACATGAAGAAGGGAAGCAGCAAGGTAAGTAAATAAAGGGAGAGAGCTAACTGACCTAGCTTAACTGTTCAGTCATCCCAGTATTTTAAGACCATCTACACAGCCATGAAAATTTAATCTAGAAGAGACAATACTGTGGTACAAAAAGTTTATTTAGTCAAGATTTTGTAAACATTTGAGGTAAATTAACATTTACATCAACTTGTTTCTTACAGAGTTTAATACACAAGGCACTTCTTTGAAGACAGCACTTTTTAACCGTTTACTGCTTTTATGGTTATTACAAGTCCCTGATGGCCCAGAAAACTTGTTATGTTTGTTGTCAGGTTCTGTCATGTAAAAGACAAACACCCAGTAAGCAACAAGAAAGCTCTGAGTAAGCTTTCTAATGCTTTACAACCCTTTAATTGTGAGAAACAGTGTCAATGGGAACAGGAATATATTCTCCATCTTAAAGTACGGTCACATTTCTTGCATAACTCTTCAAGGACTAAAACTTCTGGAATTTGATTGGCATTTTACAATGAACTTAAAATGCAAATTTACAATTTCTTTTCCACATCAGTGTTTTTTGCTTATGCAAATAGTCCCATTACCTTTAATGATCTTATTTGCAAGAGTAAAAATAACTTGGATGAAATTGCATTTGCAGGCTCAGAACCATATTGTTGGCTGGAAAACAAAACATTTACCTTTTTCGAAAATCTTCTACGGGTAACAGTGCAGTGTTTCTCCACGAGTAGTTTGTTTGGGATTTAAAAGCAGGCTGTAAATTTAGCTCTTAAAAGACATATGCCACAGCTAGTTTTTGTCATTAAACCTCTACACACACAAGAAGGCATATCAATAATAATGAACTTAATTCAATAATAATGAATTTACTCGGTAATAATTAAGTTTATGGTGAAAAGCATCTTTTTCCATAGTGTGCTCCCTATATATCCAGCTCCCATCATTTAAATATACAGAGAAACTGATGCTATAGGTCAGTGATCAGGTTTCCTTTTCTTTAGTGGTACTGCCTTATGTCTGAAGAGTTCCTGTGTTAGAGTAAGACATTTCTGACATTTTGCTTTTAGGTTTAAGATTTTGGCAGAGTCATTTTTTTACTTCTCATACAAATGTAAACTTGGAAAACAATTTCATCCAAATGTGCAATCTGAAATCAAAAACTGAATGTAAACTTCAGAAAATCAAAAATTACAAGAGCACACTTTTCACAAGAAAAATCAAAGTAAATGAAACAAAAACATCTGGAAAAAAAAAAGCCAGCCTGTTCAAATCCATGGTGTTAGTGTATGTATTAAAAATAAATAAATAAAATGAGCTGGGGGGCTCAATGCTCTGCTTTTGCAGACAACCTTTTGCAGACTGTTATCACTCACACGAACTCAGTGGAATGCAACAATTCGCATCAGCAGAGGGGGTGGTCCCATGAATCACCGAAAAAGGACCCAAGTATTCATCTGAGTTTTAAAGCTTGCCTTAATTATTTTACCGATCCTACACTTATGCATTCATACCAGAAAATAATCTCAAGAGCTGCAAAATGTCAGACATTTAATTAGCTCCATGTGCCTTTGTAAGTGACAAATACACTGAGCCAAATCAATCCCTGGTACCACTTTGCACACAACTGGCTTCCAAATTACACCAGAGAAGAACACAGCTCATCTGCTTCATCAGTGGATACTACCTATTGTCAAGAATTTAGGATTTTTCAATGCCAGCATGGACCAACAGATTCAAGGAGCACTTATTTTATCTATGAAAAACCAAGAGATTGATTTTCATAGGCAAAATATACCACTTTTATAAAGGGAAGGTTCTAGCAGGCTGTTTTCATTTAATCAAAATAGAAAGGGAAGAAATGTGTGGTTTTAAATCATCTGTACTTGGTTTTCTTTTCTATTAACTGACAGCTGCGCTAATTAAAAAAGCTCAGTGACAGAAAACAGATCAACGTGCCCATGGCCAAGAAACTATGTATTTATGTGCAATATGGATATATTTTTACTACATCTGTGTAAAACTATTATGAAGAATGTAATGTTGCCATTAGTGATTTGGAAAATGTGTTTCATAGAATCCCTGTGGTTGGAAGGGACCTCTGGAAGCCATCTAGTCCAACCCCCTTGCTCAAAGCAAGGTCAACTAGTAACAGGGAGATGACTCACTGCGAAAAGAGTAGCACATCATACACCTGGTAGCCTGTTCAAAGAATATCTCTTTTTTTTTGTTTCATTTTGTTTCTTTATTTTTCTCTTCTTCATAGTTTACCTTAGATTATTATTTTTTTTACTTTAGTTAAGACAATCTTCCCACATTCTATTAAAAGAGCAAAAAAAAAAAAAAAAAAAAAAAAAAAAGAGTTGTTTGGTTTAGTTGATTGATCAGGCATGATTCTGTGCCTCTTCTGCAATAACTGGCTTCAGGTTAGGGGTGTGAATACAATCTTTCAGGACTGTGGCTTGAATGGCCATGTGAGCAGACTAAATCAAAGTGCTATTTTCTACCAGCCCCCTCTTCGGAATTAACTAATGTATAAGAGTAAACAACTTGAAAATTAACAGCTATTTTTGCCAACAGACTCTGTTCTGCAAGTTAGTTGGTGTTTGTACAGTTTTTCCAGAATTACGGAAGATAGAAAACTAATCTTTTTTAATACCAAAACAGGGCAAATACCTTTGATCACTGAAACACTCACCTTTTGATACATTAACTAACACCTATGTACTGAAAATATCTTATTAGACACTAAATAATTTCTATCTGTAATTCTTACTCAGGAAAAAAGTGAAAAGGATTAGGCCTCATCATAATTTTTCCATTAGTTCCAATTAAGATCTGTAGTCTTATTGTAACACTGTGCATTAGGACAAATCCGGAGTTTGGTCTTTATGCTTTACTCACATATGTTGAATTCAGCGATAATTCATGAATAAAGATTAATTATTCAAAATCTGCCAATGGGATTTTTTTCCAACAGATCCCAAATGTGACACAGGAACTAAAAGGAGTGGTAAGCACAAAAGGGGATTTCAGCCAAAACAGTTACCTGGGCTTAAACGAAGAAAAAATTACTGGACTCCAAATGAAATTGTAGGCAACCAAGAAGCTTGACACTGTAGAGTTATTTGGTGGAACTTAAACAAGGTGATCCTAAAAGCACAACCTGTGAGTTGTAGCTTTGCTTTCTCAGACTAGTATCGCCTTTATGTGGGGGCTGCCCTGTCAGATTTCTCTTAGGGACTGCAAAAGACTTGCATTTCTCCCCCTGAACCTTACAGAACAGAAAGAAAAAAAGAAAAAAAAATCTTTTACAGCTTTCTGGCAGTAGTTACTCTGCCTGAAAATACCATATATTCCACAAAAGCACCCAAACTCTGCAGGCCTAACCACACACATCAATTCAAACGGGCAGACTAGGTATCAGTGGATCCTAAGTTAAAACTCTCTCTCTTAATTCTTTATATACAATATGGATGCAGTCCTGCAAGGGACACTCGCTACGGGCTGCAGTAAGTTACAGACTGCAAGATGCAGGGCTCCATCAAACAAAAAGTCAGGTTTGCTCTCAGGCCTCGATATAAAAAAGCACATATTCCAGGTGGTCTGGGTTACAGAAACACACTCCGGAGAGACTTTGGCTTCATTCTTCAGAAGCATAAAGGAAAGGAAAATACAGCCCGTGGGTTCTGGTGTACCACAACACGGAGATGCATTCTTGCAGCAATTGAATTATTTGGCATTTACCAAAACTTAAAAACTGCTACTACAGCTGCTAATAAGGCTAAAATTTGTGAGAGCTAAATTCTGCCTTTGTTTACATCTAGGCAACTGCATCACCTCTACGTTCAGCACAGTTGCAGGGATCCAACACAGAGCAGGATTTAGCTTTTAGCTTTCTTGCAGAAAGGCGTTTTATGGCTTATAACACAGAAAACTCACAAGAGCATGCCCGAAGCTGAACACCTAATAGTAGGAATCTTTATTGTACTGCTGTACATTGACTTTTAATGCAGTGTCTGCCCCAAGATGAGTGGCAGCAGAAAGGCTTCTCACCCACTTGATTAGAAGCAGGTCAAGAAGTCACAGGACAGCACACCCAAGGGTTGCAGAACAGCGCCTCTGACCACGAGAAACTCTTTCTGTCTATTCAAAAGGAGTAAAAAAAAATCTTTCATCTTGAGTGGTGGGAACATATTTTAATTGTTGAATAAAATCAACACATCGAGGAAAACATTTAACAGCAGAGTAACTGGCAACTGTAAGTGTTTGCTACAGGGTGACCCTGCTTGCCCGAGGAAGGGTGGCACTGCCAGGCCAAATACTCTGACCACGCGAGGGGCTATCCCAGTGTGTTTGACTGCTCTGCTCCAGTTACAGTGCTTCCAGTAGACAGCAGCCATAGGACCGACTCTGAGCTTCAATTCCTTTGGATTTTGCTTAGAACAGAAGTTGGGCCTAATCCTGTGTTGCTTTGTACCCAAACTCTCACCAGCCTCATCAGGCATGCAAAATTCCGACTGATTTCTGCGAGAGCACTTGTTACAAAGGAAAGGAGGACTAAGTCAGTGAAAAGGAAAGCTGCACCTTAGAAAAAAGTACCCAGCAGTTTCCTCCATCCGTATTTAAGGGAAATGCGCAATTTTCAAAAGCAGGATTTTAATGTCTTTATCTAAGGCCCCAAATCTACGCTCCTTCTGGCTCCCAAAACTCCGTGTGAATTTTAGTTTTGATTGAATAAGGCCTGCAAGATCCATCCCCAAATCTTGCTCCTTGGTAAAATGAATGGATATTCTGCAAGTGCCTTCAGTGGGATCAAAACAGACCCTTTAGCCACTAGCATGTTGCCCAGATATTTTAGCCACCTTTTCTGCAAAACAATGTTGTCTAAATCTGTTTTTAGGGACTTGTCAGACACTACAGATTGCTGTTAAAGGACAGGGTAGATCATAACAGGAAATAATGTTGCTTTGGGACTTTCACCATTAGTTAAGTTTCTTTCCCCTTACATTTTCTTGTAAGATCAAAAATCAAACTAAAATGAGTAAGTACACATCCAAGTAAGTTTAAACCTACAGATTAAAATTACTCTAAAAATGTTTAAATACTTAAAAATATGCACTCAAGTTTACTTCTAAAAAGCTTTTTTCCAACAAACTTAAACTGGTATCTAATAGTCTAAAATGCAGAGCTGTACTTTATCCTACTGTTTGTCCACGGGCAACGTATGGGGCCACAATGTCTTGAAACCATAATCCTTGCTTTCTGAAGAGAAATTGTTCTGTGTAATCATTTCTGAGGTGTGTGGTTTACATTCCTGTCCTCTTCTAAGCAATGTCAGAAACCATCTAAAATTATAATCAAACATGCTGAAACGTGTTTGTGGGCTTAAAAAAAAAAGGTGTGATCATGGTCGGCAAACACTGGATAGAAGGTCAAACCGAACACTTCCTAACAGGTCAAGAGTGAAAAAAAAAATAAATTAAAAAAAAAAAAGGAGAAAGATGAACTTCAAAATGATAAAATCTATTACAGGGGTTACCTAAACTTTGCCCAGCCAAGAGGATCACACTGGCAACTTGCCATGAGCACAAAGGCTTCATTAAGCTGTGTTATACGGAAGAGACTGCCGTCGCCTTGGTCTTTAACATGGCAAGTTGTTCCATAGAGGTGACGGGTGCCAACAGGCAATATGCCATCCTGGGGTTTGCCATCGGGCTCTATTAGGATTTAAGAGGAAGAAAATAAGTCATGGTGTCTGCTCACGAACAGCTTGTGTGAAAAGGCTGGAAGGCAAGGGCGTGAAGGAGATGATGGGCAGGCACATGGGCGCTAAGGGTATCAATGTTCTCAAATCAAAGTCAGCCTCGGGGCACAAGACCAGCTCCCATCGCCGCCTGCTACCTGTGCGGGCCTCCACTACGGCTGCCCTTGGGAGATCCGCCACGGGCATTAAAGAGAGCGGGGTTGGTCCCCTGGCGCTTCGGCCACCCCTGACCTATCAGAAAATGTTGCTATTTTTCCCCACTACAACTCAACAGAGTGCAAAAAAAACAGCAAGCGTCAAAGTGTGAAACCCAAGCCTTTACCCCGCCCGCGCCGGGCCTGACCCCCATGGGGGCAGCTCCCCTGCCCGCTCTGCCTCCAGCCACCGGCCCCGCTGCGCTGAGGCCACCGCGCTACACGGCCAGGTCGTCTGACCTGGCTCTGCTGCTGCTCGACTTACTGGCCCTGCTCAAGCGCCGCGTGTCGACCAGCAGCGGCGGCTCGTGCATCTCCACCGTGGTGCAGGCGGCCGAGACGGGCCGCTCCTCCGCCAGCTCCTCCTCGCCCTCCACGTCCCACTTGGTGCCGCTCGCCCCGCTCAGGCTGGTGCTGCTGCCGCTGCTGGCCGCCACCACGGGGGGCCCGGTGGAGGGTGGGAGAAGCTGCTCCAGTGGCTCTTCTTGCTCGGGGAGGGGACGCCGGACGCTGCTGGGGGTGGAGGAGCCCGGCGAGCTGGAGGGAGCCTTCCCCTGCTGCTCGGCTGCCATGTTGACCCAGTTCTGCTCGGCTGCCAGCGTGTGGTTTTTGCTGTTGAAGTAGTTGACGACGGCCGGCGTAGGCGTGGGGATGGGCGTCGGGATGGTGACGGGAGTGGAGACGGGTGTGGGGGTGACGGCACGGTGCCTCTCCTCGGGAACTGGTGGAGCCATGGGGTAGCTTGCCACCGAGGCCGTGTTGGATGGGGGCCGCGCTCTGGGAGCAGCCGCGGCGTAGTACGGTGCCATGGTCACCGGGGCCAGCAGCGGCGTGACAGCACGGGTGTCCGGCAGAACGGGAGGGGGTGCGGTGGTCGTCACCACCACGGGTGGTGCCGGCGGTGGCAGGGACACAGGTTTGGTCTCCCCTGTGACCATGACCGGTGTCAGCGTTGTGATCGGCATCTCCAGGCTGTACTGGCTCGTCATGCCCTGCTTGAGCTTCTTCCACCCCAGGTGATATATCTCAAGCATGTTGAGCAGCAGGGAGACAGAGGCCACCACCAACATGAAGATGATGAAGATGGTCTTCTCGGTGGGCCGTGAGATGAAGCAGTCCACAGTGTGTGGGCAAGGCGGGCGGCTGCACTGGTAGACTGGCTTTAGTTCAAAGCCATATAGGAAGTACTGGCCCACAATGAAGCCCACCTCAAAGAGTGTCTTGAAAATGATGTTGAAGACGTAGGTACGGAGCAGGGCGCCCCCCATACGGATTCTACCGCGCTCGTCACGGATTGGGAGCTTCTCCTTCCCCCTTTTGGCAGGAGGATCCTTGGAGTTATTGCTGCCTCCACCACCACTGCCAGACATCGCTGCTCCTGGGTAGTTGCTGTCCTTGACGCTTCCCTTCTTTTTCAGTTCCTCTTCTTTCTCTTTCCTCTTCTCCTCCATGCGTACAATGTGCAGCACATGGCCCAGGTAGATCAGGGTTGGAGTGGAGACAAAAATGATCTGCAGCACCCAGAAGCGGATGTGAGAGATGGGGAAGGCTTTGTCATAGCACACATTTTCGCAACCAGGTTGCTGAGTGTTGCACGTAAAGTCTGACTGCTCGTCTCCCCAGACCTCCTCAGCAGCAGCCCCCAGCACCAGTATCCTGAAGATAAACAGCACCGTCAGCCAAACCTTGCCGATAACCGTGGAGTGCTCCTGCGCGTTCTCCAACAGCCTCCCCAGAAAGCTCCAGTCACCCATCGTTCCAGATTTCTAACCTACAATAAGAGCAAGCAGAGCAAGTTAAAGCATCTCATCATTACAAACCCTGCGTCCCAGGCAGCCAGGGGTCTGGGAGAGCACAGGATGCTCTCACCAGCCACTGCAGGTGTGTCTACACACAATGGCAGGCAAGGCACACTCAGAACTAGAATTTCTGCTACATTTAAATATTTGAACAATGCCATTTCTCTGTTTCTTCCACCTGAGATGCCTCTAGCTGTTCTTGCCTATTTTTAGAAAGGAACAGATGGAAATTAGTTCATTTAATTAGAATATTCTTACTCGTAAAGTGACTGCACTTGTATCACAGTGTGATACAAAGTTTGGCTAACAATCTCTTTTTGTTATCAGGATTTATTTGTTATAGCATTCAGGGGACAAGTAATGTCTCATGTCTCTGCTATTTTAACCCTATACAAACAGATGATTATTCAAAAACTATCAAAGTACAGTTTAATTCTATGAGCACACCATCAACACTGATGTCCTCCAAGCCTACTCGGGTTTGAGTCTGTTTATTTCTGGAAAGAGAATTATTGGAATATCTAAAAATATTGGGGGAAATGACAAATTCTGAGAGGAACAGTGGAAAGGTTTCTATACTGTTTTCCCTAATGTCCTTCCACTTGTGGTTAATGTACTGCAAAGTCAATAAAATTATTTCTAAAAAAAAACCACCACAGCTCAGGGCACTTCAGCAATTGTGCACAGAGAAATAAAACGACGTTTTCTTACTTCTGTGAGAACCTGGCATATATTTTCAGTGGCTTCCAATAATTCATATATGATGGGCTTCCCATGTTCAGTTCTAGGCAGTGACACAATTCTGATTTGGAAAGGCTTAAAGATTTTATTTTAGTTTAGTTTAATTTAATTAGATTCCTTGTCAGCTGTCTTCAACTGAGAAACAAGCTATAATTTGCTAGCATCGCTTCTGTTATCCCTGGCTTGTTTTCAGTTGGAACATGCTGGAATATACAAAGTATATATATAAGAAGTACATTTCATTCTCCTAACAAACACACTTCTACCTTTTAGATGTCAACCTTCAACTGAAAACAAACCACAAAACTTTACTTTCATCTGTCTTCAATATTTTCAGGAATAATTAATTGTAATTACAAATCAGATGCAACAATTAACATGCAAGAAAAATCACTATAAAAAACTCATCCTGCTATCCCTCCTTTAAAAATTTCAGCTTACTTTTGTTGGTATAACTGAATTACACTTTGCAATTTTTAGCTTTATACTTATCTTTTTTGTCTAAGTACCTGCAAAAAGAGTTCATCATTACATGTAGGAAATTACCAGTGAGAAAACTATTTTTGGTATTTAATTTATTATGATTTCCAGCAACACTGTTGCTGAATTTCAAGAGGAAGCATTTCCAAAGTCAGTACTGAACTTCTTTGAAGCTCTCAGTTAAGGTAGTTATTTTGTTAATTTTCTATATTGTTCTTTTTGTATAACTTGATTTTACTACAAGGAACTGAGGTACCTGTAATTGCAGAGCAGTATTCTTCCACGCAAAAAGCAACATTTTTGGAAATCCTGGAATGCTAATACACTTTATCTTCGGAAAGTTAATTCAGCATAAACTTCCCTAACAATAGATCTTTGATATCCTACAAAAACACATTGCCTTTAATGTTATAGAATTCCTTTTCCAGCACAGCATGATAAACTGTAAACTATGGTATTAATATACTGATTCTGAAACGCTGATTTTGTGCAGGAATGCTTCTGGTCTTAAAACAATTTCTAATCTTTCTTCTTTTGGAAATACATTCAAGGTGTTTCTAAAGAATGTATTTTTCTCCCTCAAAATATTAACCCATGGCTGCATAAACTTTGTTAGGATATTCTATTTCTTTAACACTAATTTAGTATCTTTATATGATTTTTATTTTTTATCCTCAATCAGTTTATCAGTTTGTTTCTATCTTAATGTTGTTCAGCAATTTTCTTATTTTGACTGCAAAAGTTGTTGTGTAGCAACAGCAAAAGGAATAATGTGATATTGGATGGATTAAGGAAATTTAGCATAATACCAAATTCAGCACTTCATTTGTCTCCTATCCTTTGCATTATTCTGTGTCTATCGTTTGTCTCGCTCTTTGTTTTCTGCCCAGATAAACAAAGAGGAAGGTTTAAGTAATAAGTAGTCAAAATTAAGTTTTGTTCTTTTGTTACTAATATCTGTAATAGAAAGCTTCTGGGTGGGGAAAAGTTAGCATGCCAAATTTTCTCTATCTTCAAAAATGTGGTCCATTTTCAGCACTGTCCCCCTTGCTTCCATTGGGCTAGGTACCGCAAACTGTTCTTGACAAAGACAGATACTGCTTGCTGTTGTTCCCCCAAATGAAGTCAACCTGCCATCCTAAAAAATTATAACCCCTGCAGTGTAAGGTGAACAGACAGCAATTGTCGTTTTTTTAATATTGACACATCAATAAGTAATGTTCACTACAATTAAAGTAGGATTTTTTGTGCTTTTTGGAAGAATTATCTACTGACTAGTGGAAGAACAAAAATAATAAGTTGTAAAAAGCAAAGGAATCAAATTTATTCTCAGTCTTTCTCCATCCACTGATACTACTGAAGATGTTTTTTTCCCTTTTTGCTACAGGCCAGCAATGCCCAGTCTGAGATAATTCAGGACACCAAAGGTATGACACAATGATGCACTTCTCAAAGGATACACTTAAAAGGGATTCTAATTGCTTACATTAATAAAAGATTTATATCAAAGTCTGAAAATCCATGCAGTACACAGAGAAAAAGTCCTTAAGAAGGGAGCGGATACTTCCTAGCATCTAAACTGCACGGAGGTGAAAACCTCAGTGTTCATCTTGGTACCAACTGCAGCAATCATTGCCTTCACCACAGATCTGTATCACCTATACCAAAATATGGGAAGGACACAATTTCCAAAGACAGTGCGAAGATACTTAGCTCCAATGGCTAGAGGGTTTGAAGAAATCCAGGTCCTTTATCTCCCTTCATCATTAACAGATACTTCAGTGAGTAATTTGTAAAGCCAATGTAACGCATCCGAAAATAACACCAACCATTTTAAAGGGGTGTTTTGATACAAATAATGATTAAATGACATCAGACTAAATCCAAGAGCTCACAGACCTCACGGAATATTTGAGTAGTCACCATTGAGTTCAACAACAAAATATCTACATTTAATTTTAAACAGACACTACTCAGTATTTCAGCTGAGAACATTTCCAAGCTTGCTTTTGTAGTATTAAACTTTAGCTGTACAGTGCTGCTTCCAGCACTGTTGATCACAATTTCAAATACAAAGACAGGAAATTGCCTAGTCTCATATATGGTTTGTGAAGGGAGACGTTCTTTCTTCTGTGATTGGAAAAAATACAGTTTAAAAAAATGAAACATCTTTATCTGTATTTAATGAAATTATTGGGGAAATACTTGCAAAAGAATGACAGAGAATCTGTCTCAGAAAGCAACTTGATTCAATAGTACGAAAAGCTAGGATTTCATGCACCTTGGGTTTGTGTCATAAGAACTGGGAGCTGTATATTGTTTGTGTCACTTAAAAAAAAATCATTCTGCTGAGACAGAAACTGAAAAATAGTCTATTCATAAAAAATGGCATGGAATTATCTTTAAAAATCAATGTTTTGCCATTGGTTACCAAGTTTAATACAAGTACAAACAGGCTTTGTGGATGTTGCATTTGTTTGTGTGTGTGACAAAGAGAATGATCAAGACAGAGAATAAATTTTAAAAGCCATGATGTCAAATATACCCCTCTACAGGAGAGAAATAATTCTCATCTGGCATTTATAACTTGCCAGTTACTACTTCTCGTTGTGTTTCTGACCCCGTCACAAAAGACGTTTATCACTGTCAAGTGTATGAAATATGATATTTTATTTATAATTCTACTCATACATGTATGTTTATATAGGCATATATATGTACATAAATACACACAAATAATTACACAGCTAGGCTGCATATACTACCAGATTATGACAGCTGGTGTGTTTATGATTTTGTAATATTGGCATATCTAAAAAAAGTCCTTTAGTAATTATTTGAGACCTAACAAGTCTCTGTCAGAATATGAATTCAGCCCCCATTTTCTTTCATTTATTGTGGTAGTCCATAATAACTTGGAATTTGGGTTTTCATCTTCAAAATTATCTAGGCTTTACAAACCAGTATGAGAAAAAAAAATGCTGTTAAAAGAGAACACAACTTGCCATACTTCCTTGTTTTTACACTAAAAGATCAAGTAACTATGTATCATTTTTTTATCTCTGGCAATTCATATCCAACGAAAGTAGTAGTCACTCTGCACAAAGTTTGCAGTGGGCTGTGTCATTCCAGACAAACTGGAAGATCTGGAGGGACAGAATGAGCTACTATAATTCCCAGTGAAAATCTAATGGTATCTGGTCACGTACATATATGATACACAACAGCTGAAGTTTCATAATTTGTTTTATAAACTTATTTTGAATGAGGGCTTGAAAGATATCTTTCCTATGCTCACAGTGCAACAGTTTCAGAGGCTTCTATTATCACTTTCATTACATTTTAAACACTTGTGAGAAAAGAATCGCCTGTCTTAAACCCACTGCTACACTGGAGCCCTTTCCTTAAATTCTAGGCAAAACCTCTTGACTTCAGTGAAAGTTTGTCCTGAGTAAAGCAAAAGTGCAAGGAGCCCAGGAGGAGAGCTACGCTCCACCTGCTACACTCCTCTGTTCCCCAGCATAGCAAACCTTTGCTCAGATTCACCGCTCAGAGGAAAAAAGATAGGAACAGAAAGTAACCCCTTTTCTTCCCCAGCATACTGAAATGCCATCTAAGAGCTCTACTTTGGAATTAAAAGATGGTGACTTACCAATAAAACAGTCTGAAAGGTGAGAAGAGTGTGAAGCTACGGAAGAGTGGGCACTACGGAATAGCCGCCGAGCGTGAGGGGGACAGTCCCTACATCCCGAGTGAGTGAAGCATGAATGAGACAGATCTGTCAGGTGTCCACATACGAGCAGCCACACGGATCTAAAAACTGCACAGTAAGGAGCGTCCCACCCCCTGCCCCAGATGTACAGAGGAAAGATGAGCTTTTCTGGCAGTTCAAAGATTCAAGACCCTTTTTCACCGCAGAGAAGCAGGCACCCAGAGGACAGGTTGAGGTATGATGGGACTTCAGGCACATTATAGGAACTGCAAGGCAGACAGTGCCAGATAGCCTGTTCAAACTTCTTCAAGTGCATTTTTGTCTTCTGGAAACTAATTACTTTTTTTCTAGTTTAATTCTGAAGTGTTCTGGTGGGATTTTCCCTTTTCCCAAGTTCCCTTAAAGGGAAACTCTAGTTGCTCTGGCTATTCAGTTCAATTCCTTCTTCACATCTACATCAGGCTCTTACACAACTAACACGCACTCAGGATTCCTAATAACACCCCAGGTTTATGTGATTTCTTCAGCAAGGCAGGGATGAACCCAAAATACCTCTGATACTCTTTTTGCCTATGGGGGAAAAAAAATGACACAACTTTCCTTCCTGCTAACACGGGCCAACTTTTGCCTAATCGAGCTATAAATATCTTCCAAAGAGTTTTAAAGAGCATTTAAGCATTTAAAATACTTTGCGTCCCTTTAGAGTCCCAAGTGAACAAGTGAGCAACTGGATGATTTTGGTTAATTCTCAGGCCACAGGTGTGACCGGAGTGAGGCAAAAGCCTGGTCTCTGTGTGGCCCATACAGGCGAAACCCTTGATCGGTCAGGTAAATCAGAGCTGAGCACATGAAATGCCAGAAGCATCTTGTGTTATGTTTGTTAACTTTGTCATTCTGTGTGGTACAAGGGTCGAGGTAAGTCTGTCTCTGCGGTACATCTTGGATTTCATTGCTCTCCTGGTGTAAAACTGGCTTGCAACGCACACTGATGCTCAAAAGTTAGCGGGAACCCTTAGGGAAGAAACAACATCCCCTACACACACACCCTTTCACGGCAACAGCCGTGACAATCCCTGACACACACAGAGATCCGTCTCCCCCCTCTCCCCTGCGTTTCCCGAGGTATTTTGTGAGCTCTGGACACTTCTCCCCGTTACCAGTCCCCAGCCGGCTCCCCCGGCGGCTCAGCCCGGGACCCCCCCCCCCTCCGCCCTACTTACGCGAGGCTGTTTTAATCAGCCAAAGCCCAACTCCTTCGGGGGAGCCCGGACAGCGTCCGATCATTGCTCGTTTAAGCGGGGGGCACAGTAAGCCCCCAAATTTTAGCTCGGGCTGTGGAAGAAAGCAGGGGGGGGCGTCGCTCCCTACCTGCTGCCTGGCCGCGCCCTCAGCCGCCCGCCCGCGGCGGAGCCCCCGCGGCAGCAGCGGGTCCCCGTCCCTCCCTCTTCCCCCTCCCCTCTCCCGCCTCCCTCCCCAGCCCGGCTCCGGAGGCCCCGTCCTCGTCCCGGGGCCGCTCCGTGGCTGTGGCCGGTACAGCGATGCCGCCGGCGGCCACGGCTCCCGGGCAGAGGTGGAAGCGGGCAGGGCGCCGGGGCGTGAGGGGGAGCGACCGCCGCCATGTCGCGGGGCGCAGCAGCGCCTCACGGTGGTGTACCCCAGCCCGCCCGCAATGCTGCGTTAGGTATATACGAAATAAAAGTTATTCACACAAAAGGAGTTTGTTTTGTTTCCCTCAGACCAAGTCCGAACCCGTAGATGGAGGCTCAGGGAGCAAAGTGCCTCCCGCTGTAAGCGCAGAGCAGGTTTGAGACCACCTGATGGAACCAAACACACACAAGTCTATGGGACCTGATGCCGTGCATCCCGCGGTCCTGAGGGAACTGGCTGATGGAGCTGCCAAGCCTCTCTCCATCGTGTCTGAAATGTCCTGGCAGTCAGGCAAAGTCCATGGTGACTGGAAAAAGGAAAACAGCACTTCCATTTTTGAAAAGGGTAGAAAGGAGGACCTGGGGAACTACAGACAGGTGAGCCTCGCCTCTGTGCCTGGGCAGATCATGGAAAAGATCCTCCTGGAAGCAATGTCGAGGCACATGCAGGACAAGGAGGTGATCTGGGACAGCCAGCATGGCTTCACCAAGGACAAATCGCTCCTGACCAACCTGGTGGCCTTCTGTGATGGAGTGACTGCGTCGGTTGACAAGGGAAGACCGACCAATGTCATCTACCTGGGCTTCTGTAACGCCTACGACATGGTCCCACATGATATCCTGATCTCCAAATTGGAGATGTATGGATTTGATGGGTGGACCATTCTGTGGATAAGGAGTTGGACTGAAGGTTGTACACAAAGACCAAAGGTGGTCAATAGCTCTATGTCCAAGTGGAGGCTGGTGATGAGTGGTGTCCCTCAGGGGTCTGTCCTGGGACTGGCACTGTTTAATATCTTTGTCTATGACATAGACACTGGGATTGAGTGCATCCTCAGCAAGTTTGCAGATGATACCAAGCTGAGTGGTGCAGCTGATACCAAAGAAGGAAGGGATGCCATCCAAAGGGATCTAGGCAAGCTTGAGAGCTGGGCCCACGTGAACCTAATGAGGTTCAACAAGTCCAAGCACAAGGTGCTGCACCTGGGTCAGGGCAATCCTGAACACGAGTAAGACTGGGAGAAGAACTCACTGAGAGCAGCCCTGCAGAGAAGGACTTGGGGGTTCTGGTGGACAAAAGGCCCAACACGAGCCAGCAGTGCGTGCCTGCAGCCCAGAAGGCCAACTGCGTCCTGGGCTGCACCAACAGAGGGGTGGGCAGCAGGTGGAGGGAGGGGATTGTGCCCCTCTGCTCTGCCCTGGTGAGGCCCCACCTGGAGTGCTGCGTCCAGGGCTGGGGCCCCCAGCACCAGAAGGATGTGGGGCTGTTAGAGCAAGTCCAGAGGAGAGCCATGAAGATGATCAAGGGGCTGGAGCACCTGTCCTACAAAGAAAGGCTGAGAGAGCTGGGGCTGTTCAGCCTAAAGAAGAGGAGGCTCTGGGAGGACCTCATTGCATGTTTTCATTACTTAAGGGGGACTTATAAAAAGATGGAGAGTGACTCTTTGCTCAGTCAGATAATGTCAGGACAAGGGGAGTGGTTTTAAAATAAAAGAGGGCAGATTTATATTAGAACTTAGGAGGAAACTCTTCACGCAGAGGGTGGTGAGGCACTGGAACAGGTTGCCCAGATAGGCTGTGGATGCCCCATCCCTGGAGGTGTTCAAGACCGGGTTAGATGTAGCCCTGAGCAACCTAGTGGGTGGTGTCCCTGCCTATGACAGTGGGGTTGGAGTTAGATGATCTTTAAGGTCCCTTCCAACCCAAACCATTCATGATTGTATGATGAAGTAAGCCTTCCCACTGCCTGCATGTCCTGTATGAAGAGCTCACAGCCCTACAAGCTGGGGTGCTTTGCAGGCAGCGGTTATGGTCCCGTGTCAGGCCAGATCCTTTCACTGACAGAACGGAAGCAGCATTGCATCAGCTCCTTGCAGGATTTCAAGAGGCTCCTCAAGTTCTACAGATGGCAAGGCTGGGTCTTCAGAGTTTGAGAGCTTATACCTGTGATTGAGCCTATGTTAGGAAAAGAAAGAATTAGGCTTAGTATTTTTTAAAAGTGTTTTTCAAAGACTCTCCTCAGTCAAGAACATCTGTTGTGCTGTTGTGTGCAGACCATTTAAAGAACCCAATTTATTACAACTCTGTCCAGGTGTAAATCTTTAAATCTTTCAGCTAAAAATTCTGAGGAGGAAGAGCTACCTTGACCTAAGCACTAATAGTGGCACTTTGACAGATTACTATCACCAGAGTTGGGTGATACATCCAAAACACAGTGCTGTCACAATTGTCAGTGTTGTAGTATCACAGTGTGGATCCTGAAGCAGTGGGGCAAGGGGGGGAATCCCAGCCCCTGTAATTCCTGACATTACAACTTCCTTCATGTAGTGAAGCCCCTGAGTTGAAAGGTTTGATTTTAGGAAAAAGAAGAGAGAGATCTCACTTCCAACCACCACTCCAAAAGGTTTAATACTATGAAGCACTTGGTGTTTCCATGATTGCTTTCTCAGTATCTTGCAGGTGTGAAGTGGTATTTCCCACCAGCTGTATAAACTGGCCTTAACACTCTTTTGTTAGAAAAATATTCTTGATCAGGAGAGCAGTGAGGTTCTAGAGGAGCTTTTCAGTACCACCACCAAGGATTTTTAAGATAGAATTCAATACGTCTTCAAATGGGGATAATTTGATGCTGTGGCTGCCAACCATGGGACTACCTATCCATGAACAATTTCCTTTCCAGGAATTCCCTTCTGTGTTCTTACAAGAAGAGTTTTGGGCTGTCAACAAACCTCTCTGGGACAGCTGTAGAAAATTCACAGGCAAGCAGGCCAAATCCCCAGGGGAAACCTGAAAGGAGCAGCTTTAAAAATAAAGGACTAATTATGTAGTGGTGAGTACACAAGCATGAAGGCATGTTGAGGAGGCATGAGGGGTTATTTTTTAGTCATGTACCAGAATGTGAGGATCTGAAGCCAAATTAGGAGGGAAAGAGAAAAAATAGGACTTGTCTCCATGAGGAATTTGTTCAGAAGAAAGATATGCTTGGGTTTAAAAGTAGGTGTTAAGAAGTGTCTCTTCCCCTGGACACTCTGACAGTAGGATTCCCAAGAAGGGGCCGTCCTGCCAACATCCTCATCAGCACTTGTCTTTAAAGGTTTAGAGCACTGCCAGAGGCCACTTCAGTGTGCGCCAAATCCCTAAGTCCTTTTTATGTTCAAAGGCCTCTCTCCATTGTTATTAACACTAGATAGCATCATAAAACTTAAGTCCATATTTATTTTGTTACATTAAAATGCATATTTACATAATTTTCCTCTTCCATCCAGGCCTCCACACAGGTGGCAACCCTGGTTCCTTTAGCAGAAAAAGTGGGATTCAAGGTGGTACTTGGCTATCAGCAGTGCTGATAGTACTTGTATCCACACAGCCTCAAAAAGATCTATGAATGCCTTCATTTCTGCTCGTTGTGGCACCCTGCATGATATGCCAATAAAAAGAACTTTGCTTGACATGCCACTGTGCTACAGAAGATGGCACCAAAGATACTTAAATGCTGAGAAAGGCTGCTGTTCCCTCAGGGGGCACAGTTTCAAGCAAGAAGTGAAGTCTTCTCTAGTTGTTTTCTACATGGATGAATCAAAATACTTTGGAACCTATTAGCTATTAAATAAATTGGTAATAAAAACATTGGAATTCTGGCTTAATCTCATATTATAGTTACTATTATTATTGTACCAATTAGTAATTAGTGTTCTTTTAGACACTACTGACAAGCACGTTAGAGAACATATTAACAAATTAGAGCTGATGACAGGAAAAGTTATTGTGATTATTTTGTATTATAAAAATTACTTTATATTTGTAATAAGAGTTATTGTGATTTTTAGTTTGTAGGAACAGGTGCTTTCTGGTCATCCTTCTGAGGGCAAAAGCTCCATGTGATGAAGAGGAAAAATTACAACTGTTCAAGCCAGGTATTTGTACAGAGGAAGAATCAAAAAGAGATACAGGATGTGCATAATCTTAAAATAAATGTCACTTTTTGTCACTTGGTCATGGCAAGAAGTTTCTGTTTGTTTTCCAAACTACTGACAGAAAAGTAAGGAATTAAGAGACAGATATTGATATTTGAAATATATTAATGCCTGCCACGAGCCCATCAGGAAGCAAATTGAGCAGAAAACAGAACAAAAGGCAGAGTTCAGGTAGTTCTCTGTTGAGCTAGTGAGTTAAAACAACACCTACAAGGGCTGAGGGGGGATTGTGCTGAAGCAAGGGACAAGAGGGCAGTAGGTGAGAAGCAGGGCCAGTAGAGAGCAGGGAAGGTACAGCAGCAAAAGAGGTAAAAGGCAGGAACTTTGGCCTTTCTAGTAGTAACCACCTATGAAAATACAGCCAGAGGCTGTGATTTGGAATTGCATTGTGCATAGCAGCAAATACAACCTAACATATTGCCATTCCCTCCACCCCTTCCGCTCACTCCCTGCAGCTCTTCTTGCCCAACACCATGGCCTACTGCCCCACAGTCACGTCAGCAGAAGCGTTTGTTCATGTGCCCTCCCTGTAAGCCGTATCAAGGAATTGGTCCAGCTAAAAATCAATGCACCAAAGCAAAACACTTGTTTCTGTATCGGCTAAAAGAGTCACCAAATGTGGTGCCAAGTGCAGCTGTGCAAACAACCGTGCTGGCATGGTAAAGGTCCTGGAATGAAGGTGCTGTGTTGGATGGGAAGGGAGAGACACAAATGGGGTTAGGGGTGAGTAGAAAGCACTGACATCAACGTTAATATCCTGAACAAGTGCTACCAGTGGATGCTTCGTAATGCCAAACCACAACCAAAGCTTCTGCACAAGGAAACTGCCCGCCTGATGTTCTTTCCCATTGTACTCAGGGTAAGAGCAAATACAATGTATTTACCAGGAATATACCTTGAATATACCTTATTGACATACATCACGACTTTGTCAAGGCCTCAAACGCCGGATACCTTCCAAAGAAAGGAAGAGCAAAAGGAGCGGAAAAACAAGCAGAGCTCATGTATGGGAAACCGTCTCTGCAGAGTTCAAGCTGCTGCACAATGCGATGGTCTGGTTTGAACTGAAAGAAACTGGTAACACAAAACATCTTGCTATCACTCTGAAACTTCTGGATGCAGACCAGGCTGCAGGGAACTCCACCCATGGATAGTCAATGGGGCAGGAGAGCTGAAAATTGGTCTGGGTTTTGGTCTTCCTCCTATCGCGAGGAATGCCTGTGTTGTGAGATATAAAACCGAGGCAGAAAGAGCTTTTTACCTACTCTGCTGAGAAGAAAACAAACAAAAAATTACCAACTTCACTTATATGAATTGCAATTTTACTTGGATAAAATTGTATGCCACTTTGTATGCTTTTGTCAAGTGGAATTTATTATGGTGCAAGAATGTGATATTGCAACGGCTAAAAGCAGAAAGAAACCCTGCTGATAGAGATCACACTGGACAGACCTGTGCACTGACACGTAGATTTGATTTCATATGAAAAAGACTTTGATTTAGTAGCTGAGCTTTGGCTCAGCAAAAAGAGCCTGTACAACTTGACTCTTTGGTTGGGGCTCCCTTACCACAGATTTTAGAAGTTCCCTCTGTCCCGTAGCGGAATCCTATATCTAGACCACCCTCAGCAGATGTTGGACTAGGTTGTCATTTAACAATCTTCAGTGACGATAAGTCCGTCATCTAACTCAGTGCTCAGCCCTCTTCACAGCATGCTTTCTGCAGTGAGTAGCCCACCTCTCATTCCAACATAAGCCTTTTACTTCTTGTCCAGTTGCCAGCAGATATAAAGAACAGCATCCTCATCTTCCTTGCCACAATCTTTTGCATATTTGGGGAGTTCTGTGGACCTTCCTTCAGATGTTTCCAGGCTGGCCCATTTCTTTCAAGCTTTCCTCACAAATTCTGTGTTTTAGATATTTGGTCGTCTATTATTGCCAACTCCAGTTGATACACGGGCTTTTGTAACAGAAGGTGCCCCAAAATAGGATCCAGATAAGGACTTGAAGATGCTAAGAATGCTGAAAGCATTTCAGACATCATATTTTTGGCAAACCTTTAATACATACTGGTATGATATTTTTCTGAGTCAATAACATTATTGACTCGTGTTCCATTGATGGTCTACTACAAACTCCAGCTCTTCCCTTCAAAAATTGTTCATTGCTTCAGAACAGTTCTCCATCCTACAACTTTGCAAGTACTTAGTGTTTCACAACGATAGCCTTTAGTCCTTCCCAACTTCTCAAACTGCGTTGGTTATACCATTTCTCCCAGTGATAAAGATCTCATCGAATTCCAGGCCTGTCTTCCCAAGCACCTGCAGTTCCTCCCAGCTGCATAGTTTATTCCACTTGGTGGAGCCTCACACTTTGACAATGAATCATTAACAACTATTTTACTGCTATATACAAAAGCTTTTATCATGGCCTAGGCAGAAATGGCAAATCCATGTTGCAATGTCTTCTATCAGATAACAGTTATATAATGATTCAGTTGGGTTGTTCCTTGGTGTCTGGGTGCACATGTGCATGGATGTGTTTGGTTTTGTTAATTTGTGCTGGAGAGATTGTGGCAGCTCCTTACGCTGTATATTAAATGCTCAGTCCTTGGACAGGACGCAACATCCAGGGCAGGGACATGACTAACCATAAGCAGGTATTACGAGAATGATGCAACACACAATAGGTTTGAAATCTTTACCACACAATGATTATAAAATATTTTTTCTGGCACCTGTCATTGCAATGATCTTAACAAACAATGCCTGATTAACCATCCCTGCTCCCCATGAACACGACATAGTTATCGTCTTTATCTTTTAGTTGGGAAAACTCAGGAACAAGGGGCATAGGGGCTAAGTCCGTACTAGGACTGCTATAATACTTAGAATAATAAAAATACTAATCAAGTGAGACAAGTCTTAGGAGAAGAGCAATGTTGGATACTAGACAGAAAATTTTACAGTCTCCCTGTCAAAAGAAGGTGCTGCAGTCTTGCTAATGGGCGGATCTCTTGGAGGAGTAATTTTTGTATTCTCTTAGAGATTGAACCTCAGTCAAAAAATATCTGCATATCTATGTTTTTAACAACATTTCACGATTCTGGCTTAAACAATTCTAAAACTGCTATTTTCTTTCACAGCTGACAAGCCTGTATTACTGTAATTGCCAGGAGGACAGCAAAGATATATGCTGCCTAAGCCAGTAAGTGTGCCCAGCACAGCTTGCCCACTGAAAAATGCTGCCTGCTTCGGACCGGCGTGGCTGCAGCATTTATCAGGTGGGGCACTGTGCTGGGCTATGAGTGACATGCTGAAATGCTGTTTGGTTTTAGGAGTGCACAGAATGCACACTGCTGTTGGAAAGCCTGAGAGCAAGGCTTTATGTGAAGAGCTTCAAAGACACAATGAAAAAGCAAATAGAAAACATCATTTAAGCACAGTAATCCATCCAAAACCTGCAGTGATTCATAGCTCGGCTGTGTAAGTTCCCTACCCGTTCACTCTAAACACGTTCCCTTAAATGCTAAGTCGTGTTGGTGTGATAGCACTCCTTTACCAGAAAGGCTGATGCAAGCATCTGGCTGCCTGGCAGGATGCTTGAGAGGTTTTTATTTTATTAGATGTATTGCTGTGGGCATAGAGCAGGTGGGTGTAAAAATAATCACTGAGTTACCGCCGGTGATTTTACGGGGAAGAAAGTACATGCAGCTCCTGAAGTACTTTGAAGATCATTACCATTCTTCTTAGCTAATTAAGTCTTGGATAGTTACCATTACTTTTGCTGTTGCCTTAGCTACAAACAGGTTTAGATGACTGTGTACATACTGTGATAGTGAAAATCCAAGGAAAACTGGAATTAACACCCAGATTAGTGACTGCCCTGGTTATCAGAACAGGTAACCACAAAATACAGTGAAATTCGTTATGATTTTGTTGCCCGTAAGCCACATTAGCCTAGGTTGTAGGGGAAGGAATTGTAATTAGGGAAAATGAGAAATTAAACTCCATAGGGCTGTTTTTAGTAATGTGTTCCTGGTGTTGTGCATTTGCTGTTGTATATTTACTTTTTACCAAAAAAAAAGCAACTTCCAACAATGCTGCTGTTTTGAACTGAACCTCCATGGTACAGCAGTGCTCATCTCTGTATGGACCCTGTCATTTGTCTTTTATATTCTTGCTGTTGGATAGGAAATAATACAGTATTATTACAATACTGTATTAGGTATTTTTATACCCAGGAGTCAGAATGCGGACTTCTGGCTTCCTTTTAATGTAGTCTTTCACCCAGGGGAATATTTATTTGTTTTGTTTTGTTTTCTCTAGATGGGTCAATGAGCTAATAGTGAAGTTTGCTTTGCTGCCCTTCTGACAAGCATAGTTGTAGGTTTGGTTTTAAGGGTTTGGGGTGAAAGTTTAGCCTTGTCAAAGCCAATGGAAAACCTCTGGTGATTTCAGTCAAGGTATAATTCTAGCCTGTCCCACTCTTATACTTCCCAGTTTGGACACCGCATTATTTGACACTTTACATCCTTGCTCTGCTGTACTCTAGGCAGTAAGGAGTCAGCTTTCTTTACAGTCAGGACTTCAGATTTGCTGCCTGAAGTCTTCAGCACTCGTGACCTTCATTCTGCAAAGTCTAGGAGCCACATGCCAAAGGTGTAAACACTGTGTATTTCAGGAAAGAACACACACAATTCCAAAACAGCATTGTATTTTAATCGGTATCAAATCTATTTGTAGGTCAACCATGCAATGTAGCACACAGAAATAGGTGCAAAGTGTTTAGTTTCTATTATCTGAACATTTTTTTTCCCTACAAAGCAGCTTTTTAGAAAAATAAAAACATAAACAGAAATCTCAGAGACAATAAACACCTCCTGCTAGAGCTATTACCCTCTGATATTGCAGTTCCAAATTGAACTCCTCTCTTGGCCACTTCCAGCCACATTCCCAATTTCTATCTTTTTTTTTCCCTTACATAAAACCTGGTTGCCAAACTGCTAGCTGAAGATACTTAACCTCATCTTGCTGGCGTTACCAGTTGTGGTGCAGCTCGTTTGAAGTTCCAGTTAAAGGCACTCTGGGAAAACAAACTCACCCCCCTATGGAGTGGTTAGGTTGTTAATGAGCTTTTTCCAGCTGCATACGGCTAGTACAGGAAGGATTTACACAACATATTTGATTTCTAGCACTGATCACACATGTGGCCTTCCACTAAGGGCTCATGAAGTCAGCAGGATGTAGCTGGTAGCAAAGGCAGTGTAAGTGGTTGAAAACAAGCTGTGGCAGAAGGATAAAATGCTTACAGTAGCTCTTGGCTATTAAATGTATTATTGGTGCATACGTTTTCTATTGCAGTAAACAGACTTTCATTAGACACGTTAGGCAATACATGGCACATAGAAGTAATACAGAAAACAGACACCACAAAAGTGCTTTAATCACGCTTTCGGCAGAAAATAAAAATCTTGTTGTTACAAAAGAAATGTAATACTAGAGCACCGGGAACGTAGATAGCTTGTTCTTTGTGCTCATACACAGAACAATGCAGGAACTTTACCAAGCACAAACCTTGTATGTGCCAAACTTTGTTCTTTAGAGTTGAATTAAGGATGTTTTCAGAGACCAGGTTTCCAGTTTCTCATTATTGACTTTCCATCATTTTGTTCATGCTTCCAAGGATGTTGTTCCTATTTTTTTTTCCCTGCTCCCCTGTTAAAGATTTCCATCTGCAGTCAAGCTGCAACACTGGATGCAGCACACCAGCAAGGGGAGCCTGCTTGTGCTCCACTTCCAGGGCACAGTGAGGGGTCACGAGTCTTAATTAAGGCAGCTTTGTTTATCCAACAGTGATAAACTTAAAAGTATTTGAGGAGACAGATGCAAAAAAAGAGAACCTAAGATAACGCTCATTCTTTTGGGAGGAAAGCTAATTATTAAAGCTAAGAAGAAACAGGCAGCTTTCTAGAAGTGAGTTCAACGGGCAGGCACTTGGGAGGTTCGCTGCACTGCTACATGTGCTGGTGTAGCTGCCTAGGACAGGCATAAAAGCAGAACACGTTTCAAGACTTCTCTGGAGAAAAGACTGACTCACATAGATCAAGTCAGTAAGGTACAATGCACAGCTCAGCAATGTGAACTTTAAGAAAAACACCAAATTCTCAAGATCCTCCTCATTTCTGATTGGGACACTCTGCTATTTCAGCTCCGCAAATTGTCTGTAATTCTTGCTGAACATATGGCAACAAGAGGAAGGGTGTTTCAGTCTCACAACGTGGAATGTCAGAGACTGGGAGTGGTTTGGTGCACTCACTCCAAAGGTACCTCAGAGTGGGAGAAGGTTTCATGAAGAAAAGTTACACAGGATGGATGAGTAATAAGGGGGGGAAAAAAAAAACATTAATGGAAGGAGCACCAATAGGTGTAATCTACTGGGTATCATGCTGTAAGTGTTGAAGCACTTCTGGAAAACAAACAGAATGAAACAATGAGGCAATTTTTCTTGATCTTTACTGAAAAAAATGTTAAAGGTACACAGCTGAAGGAGGCCCAGTCAGGTGATAAAGTGTTATCAAATAAAATCTGCTGTACTGAGATTCTCCACAAAATGTTGGGGAGGCAACAGCCCTTTTCTTTCACCTGACCAAAAGAAGGAAAAATAAACTTAATTCCTCCCACTGCTGCAGCCCCTGGGAGTGGAGGGAGGAGCACTGACCACCCCCAGCCACATACGAGTGGCTCCACAGTGCAGGAAAAAACAAATAATAAAAAAAAAAATGCTGGTCCCCAGCAAAGCTGATAGCATTTGCTAAGGAATTCATGTCTCTCCAGAATGCTTAGAGAGAATAGGACACATGCTATAATGATCCTGTCTGTCTTCTCCAGGATCTGGAAGTTCCTCCCAAAAAACCCTTCATCCCACTTTTGACCAAAACTCTTTGTTTTTGGCCTGCCTCTGAAGCTGACACTGTGTTTGTGATTCCCTGCTCTTTTGTGGGCACTAGAGCCTTCTCTGGGCTTTTCCACTCCCCCTTTTTGAGAAGTGACCATTACAGCAGGAGGCAAACTTGGAAAAGCTGCTGCCAAAAGACTTTTCTCTCTATTTGTGGATGCAAGAATACTGAATTAGCCCATAACCTTGAAATTTGCCTCAGTGTCAGCTTCCCAAGCAGGCTATCATTATAAAAATATGCCCTTTTATTTGTCCTTTTCTTTGAGTGTGAAAATATTGCAGATTGTTTTCTGACACCTAAGAAAATTTGAGGGAAATGGGGAGCTAGGACATCCTGGAACTGGGAGATTATTTTAAAGCTGCTGTTTTCCTGGATTGTTTCATGCAGATTTTTGCCACTAGGTAACACAACTCAGCCAGATTCAATGTCATGCAGATCCCGGACACAGCAAGCATGAAAATAGTAAAGGTGGTTTTCTCGGTGGGCCGAGACACAAAGCAGTCCACTACATTGGGGCAGGGCCACGCATCACACTTCACCAGGCGAGGCATCTGGTACCCATCATACATGTAGTAGAACACGTACATGAAGACCGCTTCAAAGATGATCCTGAAGAAGATGCTGCTGGTGTACGTCCACCACAGGGGACCTCGAATGTGAATCTTTTCGTTCTTCAGCTCTTCTATATCAATTTTCTCACCGTTTCTGAAGCGCCGTTTCTTCTCGTGCCTGGTGTAAGCTACGTGCATGGCCACCAGCAGCGCAGGCGTGGAGACAAAGATCAGCTGCAGGGCCCAGAGTCTGATGTGAGAGATAGGGAAAAAGTGGTCATAGCAAACATTTCTACACCCAGGTTGAAGGGTATTGCAGACAAAATCTTGTTGTTCATCTCCCCAGACTCTCTCTGCAGCCACGACCAGGATCATGATGCGGAAGATGAACAGGACCGTGAGCCATATCTTCCCGATGCTAGTGGAGTGTTTGTTTACACCTCCCAAGATGGCCTGCAGAGATCCCCAATCCATCTTCTCTTCTGTGTCCTTCTACCTGTAAGATGACATAAAACACCAAATAGTCACTTTTCAAGGGGCAAAGAATCATTTCCAGATCTCCTATCAACAAGAGGACTTCCTAGCACTCACTTGAGAATCATAATATTAATGAAGGTGGCTTGCATTTCACTATCTGTACATTCATGGATTCAAACAGCCTGGTAGACTCTCTCCTTCCATATATTTACAAATATCAAGGTGTGCTTGTCCCGATTTCCTAACAAGGCTTTTGGTAGGCAATAAGTCACACCTTCGAATGTATTTCCTCCCTGCATCTTCTTGTGCCATCCTTCCCTTTGAGATATTTCTCCCTGTGGTTGGCTCTTGTTGCTTTGCCTCACCTCTGTGTTTCCCAAAGCAATAGAAAACTATACCACTGTATAAGTTAATGCCACATCTGGACAAAACAGATGATTTTTATAGAATTTCTTTGCCAACACCACAGCCCTAGAAGACTGGGCTGTACTTGCTTTGCCTCCCAAGTAAGTAACACTTGGCCATCTCTGTCAGAAGCCCTCACTCCTCCCAGACACCTCCAGCAGGCCCCCAAGGCTGTCTGCTGCAGCTCAGACGCATCCTTTCCTTGGCAGGGCCTTCATCACTGTAAGTACAGCGTTTGATTATGTCAGTGGTGCCAGAAACCTCAAGCCAGCTCTGTTGGGCCACATGCATAGATAGCACTAACCGGCAGGCACAGGAAGGCACTGCAGAGCCTGCCCTGCCACATTCATCCCTATCTCATCAGAAAAGGAGACGAGCAGAGCCAAAGAGTTGAGAGACAAAGCCCTTAGCTAAAGAGTTTATGTTGATTTTCTAGATGCTATCACACCCCAGTAAAATACACAGGAGACTGAATGTCAGCAAAGTCCTATTTCAGCTTTCCTCCCTTCCTCATACTCCTGAGGAAAATCTATACCTTGTGAAAAAAGAAGCTTAAGTTCTGCAGAAATCAGAGTCCAGCCTCATCTTTCACTGGTCAGCAGCCATTTGGAAACTCTCCCTGAACTAGGCAACACACGAAATCCTTAGCTGGAAGCTCACACAGCTGGGAGCTGCTCCGTGAGGTTCGAGCTCCAGCCTTGCATGGGAGCCACAGAGCCCCTTCTGCCCCGGGGCAGTGCACATGCTTTAGGGTGAGCACGGTACCTTGCAACACCCGGCTGGTGAAGTCTCCAAATCCTCTACTTCTCATATAACAGGAGAAATAAAAATAAATACCACTTTTTCACGCCACTGCCGTTACGGTATGACCGAGGGCTCAGCGTGCCCCAACACATACCCTTGGTAAGAGGGCCTCGCTTGTACAAACAGGCCTCGAGGCATAAGGCACAGGTCACACGAAGAAAGGTTAAATTGGGTAAAAGAAAATAAAAAAGCCTCAAGAAGGTGCCTGCGATTCCTCCCACTGTTGGCGATCTCACACTGCTGAGACCAGCAAGGCTTTATGCAGCTTTTGATGATGACCTGAACCCATGGCCGTGATCAGATACTGGCATCTTTGGGTTAAGATTTCCTCTTATTTGAGTGTAATTATTAAAATAAATATGAAAAAAAAAAAAGAAAAAAAGAAAAAAACATATATATATATATATATATATATATATATATATATATATATATATATATATACACACACATGTATATTAGCTAAGTATTTAAGGGGGGGCTAACCGGGACCGAAGGAAGGTTATCTGAGTGCACACCCCATCGGGATGAACAACCCAGGCTCTAAGAGCGGGCTCACACCGCAGTTTTGAACCAGAGCTGTAAAATTTGGGGGAAAAAACGATAAAAATAACACTACAGGACAGCTACAAGACACCTCCCTGCTCAGCTGCCCCTTCCCAAAGCGCCCCTTCCCTTCGACCCGGGTCCCCGGCAGGCACCCCCTAACCCCAAACCCGACCCCACGGGCGGGCAGGAGCCGCTGCGGAGCCTCACCTGGCAGGGCTCGGCTCGGCTCGGGTCCGGGTCCGGGTCCGGTGGTGTCAGCGGAGCGGCCGGTGCCCGGCTCGCCGCCCCGCGGCTCTGAGGTCCCTCCCCGCTCACCTGCCGCCGCTTTTAACCCGCCCCGAGCCCGCCTCCGCCCGCCGGGGCCGGGCCGGGGAGCGGGGCCGGGGCTGGGCCTCAGCCAGGCCGGGGCTAGGCGAGGCCGCCCCCCCCCCACACACACACCCAAAACCCGAGGCACCAGCCCCTTTTCACTCTTCTTTCACCCCCACTGCTGCCCCTTCGCAGTCTTCTCAACACCATCGTTCACAGCCCAGTTTTGGTTTCCTGTTTTTGTTTTTTCTGTGGCCCAAAATCCTGTCAGAAAAGAGCGCTCTGCTGCTGCTGCAGAGAGGGTGTGAAAAGGCTGGGAGATGGGGAAGTGCCGTGCCCATCGCCTCTGAGATAATAAAAACTTCTCCAAGAACATTAAAGCGCCGCTGGGAATGGTTGTGTTTATTTTGTTTTATTTGTGTGTGTTATCTGTCCCACGTATTGTGCTAAGCACGGAGCTGGGGTTTATGAGGCGTGCCTGGAAGTAGGAACGCTTTCATCAGCAGTGATTCAAATGTAATTTAAGCTTGATCTGGTAATTTGTATAGATAACAATTACAGAAAACTAGCACTTGTGTGTGTGTGTGTGTGTGTGTCTGCAAAATGGCCAAGTGACTTTGCTTCTGCACTGGGAGGTGTAGAAAACAGTCAGATATGTAAGGTCTTGAAGAAGAAGACGAGGAAAAAGAACAAATGTCAGAAAGAACCAGCTATATTTTATAAAACAATACCAAAGTCTGAAAAATCTGACATCAGTAACTGTAATGCTCGAAAGAAATCCTTTGCTCATGTTGCTCATGTTGTGGGTTGTAAGATAATGCAGAAATGAAAGCATTTCATAAAAACTGGAAAATACTGTTGTAATTTTCTCAATGCAGAAACGGTTATTATCTTATTTCCAGATTTCAGAATTCTTGGCATCATCTTCCAGTAATCTGCCTTAGAGATTTCCAAAGGTTGTGTCTCCATCTCTTCATTTCACGGCCCATAGTCACCTCCAGAGGCTCTGTCTGGATGAATACTTATAATAGCCTTTGGTTCACTTTCTGGCATTGCTTTGTATAATGTTTTGATGTTGCCTGCATCTGGATTATAAAAATATGTCACATTTATCCCATATATATCTCAAAATCCACAAAATCATAGAGTAATTATCTCAAAAACTTAACTACGTATTGTGAAACAACAACAACAAATATTTAAGAGCTGGTTTTATATGATTTCATGGGACACTCTTGACTCCTCACCACTAGGAGTAATAGCCAGTCATCTTTTCCCTGTTCAACTCCTCTCTGCATTCATGAATGCAGAAATTTTTGTTGTATCCTCTCCATCCTTTGTATTTTGCACTGGAAAGCCTTATTTCTTGCATCCATGTCATGCAGGAGCTGCTATATACTTTTATCATCATCATCACAAATCTTTATGCCTTTTAATGAGAATGGTCCAAGTACTTGCAGTATGCACAGTTTATGTATGTACAAAACAATGCTTTCTGCTGCATTCTCCATCATTTTCTCATAATCCTTATTTACTTGTTTCCACTTTTCAGGCATCTCAGAGCAAGGAGTTGACTTTCCCATGGTCACTCCAATTTTTTTTCCTAAGACTTCTAGCAGGTAGAGCTGGTACCTCCTGGGGTACATACATCTACTTGAACAGGTATACTTCATATTGATTTTCCTCATTGTGTATTAGTTTACACTAGCTGACACTGAGGTTCATTTGCCATTTTATTATCCACTATGGATAAGATAACTATCCACTTATGGAAAAGATCTTCTGCTATCCCTCATGGCCAGGTTTGGTTTTGATTATGATGAAGCATCAGGTTTTTAATGTACTATTCACAAGTATTTTGATTTTTCCTAAATCCTATCTGTAGCAACCTCCTTACTCATCACTCCTGTTAAAGCAAGGCTCTTTCAACACCTAGCAACTTCCTTGCTACTTGTCACGCAGAATTATTTTTGACCAACTGGAAATATAGCTATAGAGTCAGATTGTATTTTGGAAATAGTTTTCATTTCTTCAAGGCTGAGCTAAATATGTTACACCTGACATTTTTCACCAACATCAGCAATAAAAGTACCTTCCCAGTTCAACTCAGCATGTGTAACCGGTTTGTCTCCACATTAATTCTTCAAACACTCGTTTTAGTCATGCTAAGACCAAAACCACCACAGTTTGATAGTCTTTGAGCTGTCTGTTTGGTCTACTTCGATACCTTTCCACACACATTAGTGTCTGAAACACGCGTCCAAACATTATTTTCATGTTCACGTAAATTGCCATCCCAGCGTTTACACAAATGAGCATTCACATTTTATGCAACAGTGCCTGAAGTATTGTTGACAAAGTCAGGCTAACGCAAATACCCGGTCATAGGAGCTGGACTCTGTAAAGCCCTGCCCTCCAAGTCTCATGTATGGCACTGGATTCTTAAAATGCACCACATAGACCACTGAAAAAAAGAAGCCATTGCAGTAGACATCAACCCTTCCTTATGCTCACTGACCAGCTCAAGCAATTCAGTAGGTTCCTGGAGAGGGTCACAGTGCCTAACTGTCCTCCACTGTCCTCCATGAGTTAGACCCATCTTTACCAGATCACTCCTTAAAATTACTCTGCAAAGTTGTTACATGAAACAGCTTGGGCTCCTTCTGATCTATTGGATGTGTAGAATAACAGAGAATTTAGACCAGTTTAATTCAGCTGTAAAACAAAACAAAACAACAGTGTGACACTTTACAGTGATACTTCTGAAGTGTCAGTAGCAGCCTGTGCCCTTGTTTCACCCCCTTCTGGCATCCAGAAGGATTCAGTTTTGTAGAGTCTGTTTGCCTTTTCTCCTTAATTCAGACGGGTTTGTATGGCTGCCTCACCATCCCAGGTCCTTCACCCAAGCCATGCGGCTCTGGAGGACACCTTCCTGGCCAGACCTCGCAGCTTGTGGGGTGTCCACAGGCCCACCTTCCCCTGGCCACATTTCACATGAGCTGCTGGCATGCTTGTGCACAAAAGCTCAATCACTTTCACAAATAAAACAGAGTTGGTGGATAGAACCTATATTTCTTATCTGTTGCTCTAAAAATGTTTTGGGAGAGGGTTGCAGGTCTCTTGTCAGAGGTGGGATAGTCCCTTTCTACAGAGGGGTCCCGTTTCACCCCCAGCTCAGTCATGCAGTGTTCTGCAGGCCCAAACGGAGGAAGGTTTGTGAGGGATGACCGTGATGTTCTTTGCTTCTAGGGCTGTGCTTTCATCTGTCCCTCAGAAATCATCTCCCCTCAGGGGAGAGTGGGCGCAGGGTACAGGACAGAACTAGTGGCAGACCTAACTTTTGGCTAATTCCTGTCATTTGTTATGCAAATTGCATACCTGCAAATGAACTATTAGAGTTTAGGCTGTTAGAGTTTTAACAGGTTTGCCAAGAACGCGTCAATCTTTGATGCTTATCTGAGGACCTTTTGTTCTTCCATATCTCCTGGAGCACACAGAGCTTAGAAGAAGCCCACATTAATTTGCTTATTCAGAGATAAGAATAAGAAGAAGCCAGTGAGAGAAATCGGTGGCAAGCACTGAAGACTGGGGAGAGAAATTGCTAAGGGCAAGGGTGATGAAAGCTGTAAAGGACAGAGGGTGGGCAGCGGCTCTGAAGGACAGGCTGGATGCCACCAGTGGGAGAAGGGCCCATTCTGTACACCCCCACAGAGGGAAGGGGGGGACGTGGGAGGAGAGCTTTCAAAATAAAGCTTCTGCTGTAAATCAGTGGACTCAGTGACAGGAGCTCAAGCGAAAGGGTGGGGAGAGCAGGCAGCATCCAGAAACGATGGATGATTCCACCGTGGAAAGTGGGCTGGATTCATGTTTTGCATTGTTTCAATTCAATCTGAGAAAAGTGCCTTCTCTGGTTCCTTTTGTCAATATTCAAATCACTGACTTACGTGACTAATCCAGCAGTTTGCTGAGGTCTCAAGTGCAAGTCCTGAATCAGATTAAAAACAAGGACAGCATGATTCAGTAACGACTTGGTTGCACCTATGTATGCATCATATTAGCCCAGTCATTTATTGAGTGCAAATACATGGTGGGAAACACTTCCTCTTGCTCACCTATTCGAGGACAAAGTAATTGAACTGCGTTTGGGAAGGAAGAGTCATGAGGAACTAAAGGCATACAGATAAAACCTCGGGCTCTTAAAAAATAGCAAAAAAAAAAAAAAAAAGTTTTTTTTTTAAAAAAAGTGACTTTTACAAAGAGGTTTCCAGGCAGAAGCTACACGCCAAAATGTGCCACCCACAGATCTATGCTGAGTGACTGCTGTGGTCTGAGATCACATCTGTTTGCGTGGCTCTCTCAGGGTCAGCTGCAACCTCAGGACCCTTTGGGTGTCATCTCCAAGCACAGTGCTTCTCCCTGGAGCAATGGGACATGTGAAGCCATAGGAGATGCATATGGGCATAGGAGATGAAATAAGGGCAGGTCATCTTCTCAGACACACTATTTCTTTTTCGATTCCTCATTTTTTTTGCATTCCCAGATTTTAGACTTTTTTTCACTTGCATTTCTGCTACTTGTCACTCATCCCATCAGATGGCTCCTTCACAACTCAAGGCCAAAAGTTCTTTCTTTATTCAAGAAGAAGGTCTCCATCGCCACTTAGGGGTGAAAATAATTTAGGACTCTGCAAGGTGGTCATGTGCATAAGTTGGAGAACGTTTAAAACCTGCTGATTTTTGGTGGCCATCTGTACTCAGTGGAGCAGATTCAAGGAGAGCATAGCATGACCGGGTCACATACTGATGCTGGTGGGAGAAAATCTTCAGTGCCTGGAGAGCATTTGGGCACCGAAGCATGCAAAGCTACGTGCAAAGCTGGCACCGGTCCTCCTATGCAGAAACAACACCAGGAGGGCGCCCG